GAAGAAAGTGCTTGGCTTGGCCCAATTACCATTGATTTTTGTTATGGGTTGAATTGCATCCCCTCTAAAGAAGGTATGCTGAAGTCCTAACCCCCAGTACCTCAGAATGTGGCCTTATTTGGAAATAGGGTCATTGCAGGTACAAGTAGCTAAGTTACGGTGAAATCATGCAGGAGTAGGGTGGCCTCTCATCCGGTATGTCTGGTGTGCGCACAGGAAGACGACCATGTGAAGACACAGGGAGGACGAAATATGCAGACAGAGCAAAGATTGGAGTGATATATCTACCAGCCAAGGAATGCCTGAGGATTTCCAAAAATCACCAAAGACAGGAGAGAGGCATGGAATAGATTCTCTCTCAGAGTCCTCAGGAAGAACCAACCGTAGGGATGCCTTGCTTTTGGACTTCTAGCCCCCAGAACTGGGGAAGAATAAAGTTCTGTTGTTTTACTCATAGAGACGGTATTACAGTTGGCAGACTTTTCAAAGCCCACTAAGACCATGAATGTGTAAAGTTTCGGGAAAGAGAAGATCTTAATGTTTATTTCCGTCCAATCTCTCATCTGATGCTTGAAATCCCCTATCGGCATTCTCATTAAGGAGGGTTTCAGCTGGTGCCTGAACACCTCCAGTGACCAGGAACTCTCTACCTATCCTGACAATCCAGTAGCTCTCACTAGTAGAACAGCTATTCTGTATATTGGGACAAAACCTGTTTCCCTGTAGATGCTCCCATTGGGTGGAAGCCAGCTCCCTGGGAACTTTTGCCATATAAAGGTCCAATCCCTTGGCATTTGACAGCTCTTCAAATACTTGATTTCACTGAGAGTCTGAGCAAATGCAATTTCTTCTGAATGGAGTGAACTTTTGCCTTCTTTGCCCAAAGAGTAATCCATTAAAATCGAGTTCTGCGTTACTTCCTGATAGGGTAGGTTACGCTGTGGGAAAAAGCAATCCCAAAAGTCTGTGCGTCAAAAACCGGAGGATTATTTCCCACTCTGCATGTCCGCTGTGAGTCAGCAGGACCCGGCCTGACTGAGCAGCCGCCATCTTGAACGCTGCCAGTCACCCTGGGAGGGAGAAAGCTCTAGAAGGTCTCCCGTCAGCAATTGAATGCACCAGCCTGGAAATGACACACACCATTTCCTCTCCCGGTTCGTCATCACAGAACTAGTGACAGGGCTGGGAAATGTAGTCCTACCATGTACCTGCAAAGCCAGCCAGAAAGACCTGGCTGCAGCCCTGATGGTCACCACACTCACTCTGCCTGGCGCTCCCTGCCGCCCCCGGAGCGCTTGTATCACCTCCCGCCCTCTCGATGCGTTCTGTGTATTAGGTGATTATCACGTTGCGCTGTCGTTACATTGCTCCTGTCTTCATCTCCTCCATGAGACTGAGAGTTTCTGGAGGACAGGCGAGGTCATAATAAAGGTTCAATACGTGGATGCGTTTGAGAGCAGTGACCACATGCCCAAAGTAACAGCCAGACAACTCGCAGTGGTTTACAAAGCCACATGTGGTCTGGCCCCACTACCTCTCCGGCCCCATCTCCTCCTCTCCCCCGCGGCCCCCTCCCTCTCTCATGCCCAGCCACACTGTCTGTCCAACTCCCCCGGCCAGCTCCTCCTTCGGAGCCCTGCGCTCGGTGCTCCCTGGGCTGGGCTGAGCTTCCTCCCTGTCCGCTCAGCTTGCTGCCGCCCCACTCTGTCACCATCTCCGCTAAGCGTCACCGTCAGAGAAGCCTGTCCTGACCATGCCGAGGAGACGTCCACATGCCCCCACCCTGTTAACTGCCCTGCTCCCTCCTTTCTTTTCTTTTTCTCCGCTGCAATCACCACCTCTTCACACAAACGCTAATGCAGGCCGCCTGATCACACACTAAATATCACATAGTTTGTATCATATAACAATTATTTATGGTATACGTGATTACTTTTTCCAGTATTTATTTACTGTCTGCTCCCCACCTGTCCACACATATATATGCTTGAAAGACATTTCTATTTATAAAAGGACCAGAATATAGTAGGTACTTAATATTTGTCAAATGAATGAATAGAAAATGAACAAACGTACTCCCTGAGTTTTCACATCTTTGGACCCAAATGCTGAGTTCCTTTCTCTCATAGGACAAGAATTTTGAGTCCTTCCAACCTCCCGGCCACCGAGAAGTGACCAATGCCCAGTGCAGTAGAGAGCAGAACAACTCCTTGTGTGTCCTTTGTTCTATATTTCAATTAATAAATCCCAAATTTAAATAAGACTTGGGGGGTTACAAAAATCGCACTGTGGACCGACTCCCAGTGAGTTTAGTCATTGACTAAAATCTAAGTGCTTTGCACACACAAAGCTGCACCTTTCCCTCTCTCTATAATTTTGTAGTTGTTGCTTTGGACCTAAGTGTGGAATTTAACAATTTTCCCTCTTATTTTCCCATAACTTGTCTTCCTTTTCATCTATAATGTTTATTCTTTCACTTACTTATTGAGTGTCTACTATGTGCAAAAAAGCTGCATTAAGTGCTATGAGGGGTTAGGTGATAATTATACAATTCCCAGAAGGAAAAGGTTATTCAGCAATATCAATATGGATCAGATGAATAGACTTTAGTTCAGTAAGAGAGATAACTAAGGGCTCTCCTGTATGTAAATGACTAATAGCAGAGCTGTTCCTGGGACACTTTCAGTGGTGGAAGGGCCCCAGTGACACTTAAGGATGTAATTCCTGGAGCAGCTCAAAATGGAAGGCAAGTAGAGCCGTGGATGAGAGGGGGGTTGGGAAGAACTTACAGGTAGGAGGGCAATTTGATTCAGCCATGTCATTCCACTTATCCCAAGGTTGATTCATCTCATCTGGAAGTGACCAACGTATCACCTTCTCCCACATCACTCCAAGGACCTCACCCACTTTTGGACAAGGGTATGCTAAGGATTGGGCTTTCTTGCTGTCCATTGACGGATAAGATACTTCATATGTTCCAATGATTTCAGAGCAGTCCTTGAACAGGGAAAAAACCAGAACAATCATTCTACTTGTCTGCAAACCATATTTATTTATTTTAGCTAACGCCAAGTATTAGGTAAGAATAATACGGATAATAACTCCATCATCAGCCCAACCCTATAGTTATGGTACCATTATTATCTCCACTTTGCAGATAAGAAAACTGAGGCACAAGGTGGTTAAGTGATCTTCCTATAGCTAGAAAGCAAAGGAGTTGGGGTTTGAACCTGGGCAGTCTAGCTCCAGAATCTATAGTCTCAATAGCTCTGCTCTGCCCTGCTTCCTCTCTATATTGAAAACAAGGACAGACTATAGTCCAATATATGATATAAGGGCTGAATAATAAGGCTTGATTTTATACTAGTCACTAATACAGGTTACTCCTAATAAAATCAACCCAGAACTGAAATTGAAGAGACCAATATCTTACTCGAGGATAATGGGGAGGGATTCAGTGAGTTGGAGAATGATTCAACCTTTTTCCCTCTGAGCAGCTATGCATGAATTTATCTTTCCATCCTTCCATACATCCGCTCATGTATTCACACAACATCTATGTACTGGGCACTGTCACGGTCCTGGGGAGACGATTACTTGCTGCAAGTGAGACGTGGCCTGACCGACGTGGGCTTAGCAGGCAAAGGAAGCCGTGGTCTGGTGTGGCAATCACAGCAAGCAGGGAGGGGGCCTGCAAGGGTGCAGCATGAATCCAGTCTGTGTTTGGGGGGATAGCTGAGGGGACAGGAGGGAAAAGATGGGAGAAGAATGCTCTTGCAGGAAGGAACATTGAATCTGGCCCTAGCAAAAGTCTCTAATCTTAGCATTTCTGGGGAGATTATAGAATTTACACAATTTCCATCAGAGACCAGAGAAAAGGGAATGCCCTTTGCAAGGAAGACTCTGGGGTATAGTAGCTAAGAACACAGCTTTTGGAGTCAGTGGGGCCGGCATTCAAACCTTAACCTCTCAAAGCCGAATTTCCTCCATTACAGCATGGGGCTACGCACGATGCCCCAGCACAGCGTGGTCCTGAGGGTCACACAAGCTCGGGGCAGAGCATGATCTGCACACAGCTCACACTCAGTCATCCTAGTCGGCACTTGCTGCCTTCTTTTCAGACTCACAGTGACTCCCACTTGGGCCCTTAGTCCTTAATCTTCCTAGTAGCTCTAACATTGCTTTCGGAATCGAAGTTTGTAAATCTCTTTTCTCTTTTACATAGAGAATACAAAGGGAATATAATTTCTGAAAAACTTATTTGCATTACTGTGAATTTATTATACTCTGTGGTTCTTGGTGACTAGGTAACCAGCAGAGGAGCTAATTCATTATTTTAGCAATTTAAACAGGAGCCCGGAAGACAGGTATCCTGTCGTCACAGAGCGCTGGGACTATACTAATGAGAAGATTAAAAGAAAGTTCAGCTCACACAGTCCCTGATAATCACAAATGTGCCCAAGGATTATTAACAATCACAATTACCTGGAACTATATTATTTGCCTGGTTGGTTATTCTAAAGTCGACTTGCGTTGAATAGATGAGCTTAGAGGAGTTATTGAAGAAGTTATTCTGAAGCGGCTGGTGGAGCCCGCCACAACAAATACCCGGGAAAATGGGAGAGAACACCTAAGGCTCCAGGTCCCCTTCATCCGATTTCTCAGCCGGAACAAAGGAAGCCCTGAGTCCTCCTCAGATGAGTAGCCCATCTACACGGCCTCCAAGCCCTCACATGCCTGTAGGAACCATTGCCCAGCACGAGGGCCAGGGCCAGGTGTTCTAGAAAAGTCTTTTGGGAAAACAAAATAGGCTTCTGCAGGAGCACTGTCCATTTTCATGGACAAAGTCCTGGACCTTTATGACGTTGGCAGCCACTGTCCCTTCCCGATGCCCCTTGAAAATCTTTGGCTGCCTATTCTTTAGCTATGTAGGATTGTGAAGAGCCATGGTGCCAAGGCGCAGGGCTCAGGGGTTGTCTTGTTCCATGGCTGTCTTGCAGATTCCCGCAACTCCATGCTGTGTGCCGCAGGCCGGTCTTAAACCCAGAGCTCCGGCTGAGAGGATGGGGGCAGATGGGGAAACGGTGGTCCTGAAGAACATGCTCATTGGCGTCAACTTGATCCTTCTGGGCTCCATGCTCAAGCCCTCGGAGTGTCAGCTGGAGGTCACCACAGAAAGGGTCCAGAGACAGGCAATGGAGGAGGAAGGAGGCGTTGCCAACTACAACACAACCAGCAAAGAGCAGCCCATGGTCTTCAACCACGTGTACAACATCAACGTGCCCCTGGACAGCCTCTGCTCCTCGGGGCTGGAGGCCTCTGCCGAGCAGGAGGTGAGTGCCGAAGACGAGACTCTGGCAGAGTACACGGGCCAGACCTCAGACCACGAGAGCCAGGTCACCTTCACCCACAGGATCAAGCTCCCCAAAAAGGCCTGCCCTTGTGCCACCTCAGCCCAGATGCTACAGGAGCTGCTGAGCCGGGTGGAGATGCTGGAGCGGGAGGTGTCGGTCCTGCGGGACCAGTGCAACGCCAACTGCTGCCAAGAAAGCGCCGCCACAGGTAGAGTCTGGGGAGCTTGCAGGGTGGTCTTGGAAGGGGACAGAGGGGGCTGAGAAGACGGGGAACAAGCAGGAGGGAGCAATGCACTCCGTGTGGAACCAGCATCCCTTCATGCAGTCAAAAAAAAAAAAGTGCCCCGGTCTGTAGCTTCTGTTAATACGTCTGTAAGACATAAATGCAGCCCTTCCCGGGGGATTCAGTGCAGGGATTCTCTACACAGCGTAGCTGGTTTGAAATACATTAACCTGATTTTGGGGGGACGAGTCAGGTAACGGTACATCGGTTCAGCACAGCGGCTTCGATGGCGAGCAGGGAATTTGATGTCTGTCTTCATTCATCTTTGGTTTTCACAGGCTGCTGAATTGATATCTATCCATGTTAACCTGAGGGACCAGAAAACGCAGCCGCGCTGTTCACTCAGTCGCAGCCTTTCTCCCATCTGAGTAAATGATAGTCATTAAGGTCCCAGCGGACCTGTCCCCATCTTCTCCAGCAAGATGGAAGTTTTTATCTCCTGTCCCCTCCATGAACACACAAACGCGCATGCGCGCACACACACACACTCTCACGCACAACACACACGCAGAGCTCATTCCATCCTCCAAAAGGCTGAATGTTCCAGGGATGTACCTCCAGCATTGCCCACTCTCCAACTGGTATCCTTACGAGTTTACCTTTACCTCTCTGAGAGACGTGGTTAAGTCTTCAGAGCTAGACTTCCCACATGTGGATCCTGGCTCTGTCACTTCCTAGCTTATGATCTTCCTAGCAAGTTTCCCAGCCTGTGCCTGCTTTTCCTCATCTACAAATGGCGCTAGAATAGAGCAGCAAGGCATCATTAAATATACACATGCCAGTTCCGGAGGAGAGCCTGGCTTCTAGAACGCACCAGAGAAATAGTGGCCGTTACCAGCGGGCCCCCAGTGAGCAGCAATTGTGTCTGTCCCCTTTTGTGGCCAGCTTTCCTCTCCCAAAAGCTACCTTAGACACAGGCAATTCAGTGCTTTGATGAGAAGAGGCATTTGTCTTGCTACCTTGGGCTTAAGCACTCACCCGTTTAGGGCCCCTGATCTCAACGCTTCCACGGGATGAGAGCAGGAGGGGGCAGGAGTGCCATGTTAGCAGAGCCAGGAAGGCCCACGCTCCAGAAGGATGCCAGAAACGCTCACCCTGAGACACGGCAAGACCAGGCAGTCTTTGAGCAGTGAAATATTTCATGGGTTTTTCTCACCTCCTCTTCCCGTAACCAACACTGTAAATAACGATCTGAAGAATAGAAGAGTGAGCCCAGTGATTCAGTCCTCTGGTCTTTGGTGAGCACTGTCAGGTCAGTTCACCTTTCCAATGGGTCTGGAGAACAGCGGGAAATCCTAGGTTTCTGTGGACATGGACTCTGCTGCTCGAGAAGCCACGTGGCTTCTACAAGCGGGCCTTTTCCACCAGGATCCCTCACGGATGTGGAAAAAGTCTGCCAGGAAGAGCTATGTTAAGCAATGTCAGCGCAGTATATTTTCAGGTCATGGGGGCCATGGGAAGTAGTAGAATTAAACAAGGATATAACTTAATGGACTTTACCTACTTGAGTGCAGAGAAGGATGCTGAGCAGATATCACTTTTTGTTTACTTAATAAGTTTACTGGATTCACGCTAGACAGATAAATTAACCATGGCGGTTTTACCGCAGTAAGGGCGAGGACAGAGATATGCATAGAATCCTGAGATCCTAAGTGGACCGACTTTCTCGGAAGCCTTTAAAATAGCCCTGGCACTGGGTTTTGACGAATGAGAATTGGTTAAGTGGCAGGGAGGGAGGGAGCAGGACAGGTTTGTACCATGTATGAACTTCCTCTGCGGAGCCGGCTCAGTGCTCAGCCTACATCCCCCTGGGCGCCTCTCAGTCCCCACAGCCAGCATCTGGGTATCTTTGTCACAGGGCTGTCCTCAGTCTGTTGGATCCTTCTTGTTCTTCCCAAAGAGAGAATGAGGGGTCTAGGAATTCACATGCCCCCAGGAACCACCCTTAACCCATGATGAGATGTGACCTGCAGGATTGAACCCAGGTCGCTCTCCCTGGATCTTTGCCGACAATGCACCCAGCTTGGGCACTTTCCCTTCACCATCCTCCCCTCTTCCCTAGGAGTCTTTTCTGGGAACACCTTCCAATAAATCAATCTTGCACAGATCTTCATCTAAGGTCTACTTCTAGGGAACCCAACCTCAGACACCCTGAAGGTGAGCTCCTGGACACAAGGGGCCGGATCTCATCCATCTTTGCCCCCAGCACTGTGCTAGGCACAGATAGCCTGTGTTAGGTGAAAATGTTTATTCAATTGAATATGTACCAAACCATGTTGAGCTTGACTCTCAGCAACACAAATGTGCTCAGACGATGAGTAGAGGTGTCTGCCCACTCCTCCCCAGCACCACTGACAGGAGAGGCCACTGCTGCCCTTTGACCTTCTCCTTGACCATTCCAGGACAACTGGACTATATCCCTCACTGCAGTGGCCACGGCAACTTTAGCCTTGAGTCCTGTGGCTGCATCTGCAACGAAGGCTGGTTTGGCAAGAACTGCTCAGAGCCCTACTGCCCGCTGGGTTGCTCCAGCCGTGGCGTGTGTGTGGACGGCCAGTGCATCTGCGACAGCGAATACAGCGGGGACGACTGCTCCGAACTGCGGTGCCCGACAGACTGCAGCTCCCGGGGGCTCTGCGTGGACGGGGAGTGTGTCTGTGAAGAGCCCTACACCGGCGAGGACTGCATGGAGCTGAGGTGCCCCGGGGACTGCTCGGGGAAGGGGACATGTGTCAACGGTACCTGTTTATGCCAGGAGGGCTACGCTGGTGAGGACTGCAGCCAGCAGCAGTGTCCGAACGCCTGCAGTGGGCGAGGACAGTGTCAGGAGGGGCTCTGCGTCTGTGAAGAGGGCTACCAGGGCCCCGACTGCTCAGCAGGTAGGAAGGGGGACTCCGCGGGGTGTTTGGCAGGGGTGGTCCAGCAAACTAACTGGACACCTCCAGGCAGCTGGGGAAGAGGGATGAAAGGGAAGGTGAATTTTCCGCAAAACAATTCCCAGTCAGGTAGTACTCATTCGCTTTCCAAGAGAGCTGATTTCTTGAGTCAATAATAATTGATGAGGCAGATTACAAGGGCTAAAGAGCAGAAATTAGAAAAGGTCACGTTCAGGCTGAGAGCTGGGTCATGACCCCCAAAACTGGAACAAAGGCAATGGAAACAATGATGACAACACGCCACTGTCCTTACAGTGGGGAGGGCAGAGAATGAGGTCATGGGACCCCCTGAGGCAAGGCCCTTCTCTAACTGAGAGGGATTCCAAGAGTTCCACCTGCTCAAAAATATCTCCCTCACCTGTTGCCATATGCTGGGGAAAACTTTGACAATGCTATTGCAAGAGATGGTGGTTAGGCCGTGGGGCTGTCTAATTATCTTGGACCTTACGGGCTGTAAGGTGTTATTAATTTATGAAGTGATCTAGTGTGTCCACATGGAGAAAAATGTAGGCCTGGAATTAAGTAAAGAGGAAGAAAGTACTAAAGACACTGAGAAACAACGAACATTCTAACGATTAGTCCAGCATATTGAAAGGCTGTGACTCACTTTGTTCCAGATGCCCAGGTAACAAATTGGAACCAATCCCATATGTAGTGGAAACTATGGAAACTGAGGGAAAGGTGATGTCCTAAACTGGAGGTCTAAATCCAACAGTGAGAAAAATACCAATATCTCATTGGGGCTGATTTTTTTACCTGAATCAGATTATTTCATTATTGCTCATCCTCTTCTGACTCAATCGGTGACTGTTGCTCACGTATTTGTTTGTGGTTTAAGCGGTACAGACTAAGTAAATTGATCCTTTCCATTTAGCACTCAGAGTGCCCACTGGGAAGATTGAAAGTAAACAATAACAGTAATCAAACATTCTAAAACTTTCTAACTGAGCAGTTCTGGGAATTTTCCGATCAACCATGTGACATCAGTGTAAGGGGAGAAACCCCGTGAAGCCAGCGGCACGGCCTTCTGTTCCTCAGCATCATCCGTGGTCCCCACCTAGGCGGCAGATGAGCTTCCTGCATATGTCACTTCAACTTAAATGTGTTTAAAAGATCAATGGCAATAATGAGAAGAAAAACAATAATAATGTGTGGCTTAGGAAAAAAAAATTTTTTCATAATTTTTCTTAATTTTTTTTCCATATTCGATTATTTCATGTAGCCTCCCTATTTCGTTTACTGAATTGAAATATCTTTCTAAAAATATTGATAGTCCCTATACCAATTGTCCCTAGATGAAATTCAGGCTAAAGCCAAGCCTTATTGTTTCTGAATCCGAAGTCACCAGGCAGTTTTCGGGAAGCAGGCTGGCGCATAGCTCCAGTCCCCACCTAGAGGATGAGGCTCTATGAGGCCCCACCTGGAGGGGTCCTTTTGGGCCATTGCTGTGTTAATGCTATTCTATCACTCACGTGCTTCTTAGTAGACTCCATCTTTGTTGACCTGGACACACCTGTCATGTTCTTGACCCTGCTTTTCTACAGGGATGGGTCCATTTGCAAATAAAATCTTGATCTGAGCCAGGGTCCAAACTGAACTGGAGATAAACCCTCCTGGTTACCTCAGGGGAGACTCAGTAGCTGCTAGCACAGCTACGATTGGGTTGAGTCCAAACCATGGGCACGTGTTGCTTGAGGAAAACTTCTGTAGGCCCAGATAAATTATTTTACAGACTCCCAAAGCATGTGAGGAAGGACAGTTGCATAATCTCCATCTGTTTCTATAGCAACCCTGGAGGCACCACTCACTGCAGGAGGTCTGTTCTTAGGGCCTGCCTTTTAAACCAAGTGCCACAGGTCTCTCCCAGAGAAGTATCTAGGTCATTATCTAAAGTGCTACTTTGCTTGCTTTTTGTGAACAGGCTGTAGGAGAAGGGGCTATTTATCCACTGTCTGACATTTCTGGCCAGGTGCAGGCATTACTGCACGACTGCTTCCGTTGCCTACAGGGGGGAGGAGAGGAGAGAGAAGGGAAGGAAAGTGAAAACATGGAGAAACACAAAACACACTTCCTTACAGGTCATTCTCTTCTCTTTGGCAAGGGCACAGAAAGCAGCTGCCCATGGCGTGGACTGCATTCTGAGGTCCCCTGGGTCTGCAGGGCTCGAATGCGATTGAATAGTGTTGCCAGGGCCACTGCGCTTGCTCCTGGCCTTGATCTGTGCTCACAGCGTGCCACGGGACAAAATCTCAAGCTTTCTGCCTCCATTTTCTGCCCATCTACAGATAACAGAACAAAAAATTCATGAATATGAGCACTTGAAACAGGCCTTAGAAAGAACCTCCTCCAGGCTTCTTCTCATTTTACAGATTTAAAAAGCAGCAGTCCAGAGAGACAGAGATTTTCCTAGAGCCAGGCAGCTAATTAATGGCAGAGTAAGAATGAGAACCCTGGTCTCCTACCAACTTCTAGCACTCTTTAATCCCCTCTGGGATGCTAAGTAGAACAGAATTGAAAAATAAAAATGTTAAAGCCACATACCCGAAGAAGTAGCCCTTTTGATATGAAAGCTGAGTCCTGTCAAATGGTAAAAAATGAGGTTTTGGAGGCGAGGTGGAGAAGCACATCAACCCTTTGTCCATGCCCGCCCCCGGTGATGGTGGTTCGTGCGGGGACTGGCCAGGGAGCTGCCAGAACCCCCTGTGAGTCAGCAGGATGAAAGAAACATCAGAGCAGGCTCTTGAGACAATCCAGAAAGCTGTTCCCTGGACTTCAGTCAGACCTGTGCAGATCCGTCACTGTCAGCCTCTGCCTCTGTCAGGGCGGCCACCAGCCCAGCCTTTGGCACCTGAAACCATTTGCTCTTTGGAGGAAGACACATCCCAGAACCAATTCCAACTGCTCTCACCGCATAAGTGCAAAATTTAAGCAAGATCTTAAAAGGAAAGAGCGTGGCATCTTTGCAGATAAGCAACCCCAATGTTTCAAGCCATGTTTTTCTTTTTCCTTTTCAACAGCCTGCTTCCTCAACTTTCAAAGTTGGAACCTCCAAAAAAGTAAGACTTAGTAAGACTTATTCTCAGTGAAGGATACTTTGCACCCACCATAAACTCATTGAGTCAAGGCATAAGGCTCTTTTACAGCTTGCTCTGTAGTTCAATATCATTTCAGTTTGTAAGGATTACTGACACCCAATGCACACGGCTACTGCTAAGTTTTAGGGCCAGTGTGGTAGTCTCTGTTGAGCCACCACTCACAAGACAACTTCCACCTTCATGACACCAGTTCTGACTTCTCAGTCAGAAGTGGAGGCAATGTTTGCCACCAGGCTCCTGTTTCAAGTTACATTTCCAAAATAGTAAATTCCTTTGCCCCTATTTTTTTTGCTTTAAAATCCCAAAATGCTCTCCTTTGATCACCCTCCATTGTCATTATTAGTTTTATTTCTGGAAGAAGGAACCAAAAAGGAATACTCTGACATGTTACAAATGCCATAAGGGTTGGTGGTGACTTGAAATTTGGAATGGGCATTTCTGTCATTATGACAGGACAAGTCCTGCACAGGGAACTTGGGATCAGTGTGTTGAATCACAAGAGACAGGCACTAGAGAAGCTTTTTTAAAAAATAGTTTTCTTACCTCTAGGAAAAGTACCAGCCTGGAGATCACGTCCTATAATATCATTCAAATTATTCCTAATATAGTTTACTTTGGGGGTCTGTGTATAAACGAAAGAAGGCATCGGGTACGAAACGGAACCCGCTCTACAAATTGTCGGGGAAAGAACTCTACACATAGAAGGTCTGGTTTGGAGAATCGGTTCTGCTATGACTCAGCTCCATGTGACTTAGGGCAAACCGCTTAACCTGGGATGTGCCAAATCACTCAGTTTTCTCATGTGTAAGTTTAGGATAATTATATCCACCCAAACTGCTTCATAGGGCTGCTATTAAAGGATTTTTTTGAAATTCTAGTTAAATGGTATGTCTGAACATGTTTTATAGACTGTGAAATGCTATACAAATGTAAAGTGGTATTGTATATTGGCTGAGAGGTTCTAAAGTCATTCTGTCTGGGTTCAAATCCTAGCTTTTATGTTTGCTGACCGTGTGACCCACTTTCCTCATCTACAAAGTAGGAGTAATAGTGACACCTACCCCATAGTGTCAATGAGAGGATGAAATAAGATGATCCATGTAACAGTGGTTAGCATTCCACCTAGCGTATGATAAATGATGGGTATAATCCTGCACAGTCCTCATGGGCTCTGTGTAGCAACAATTCTTTCCTTGTCCAGGAGTCATTCTGTGTGCATAATACGGCTGCTGCAAAGGTCTCAGTGCTGTTCAATGCTCTAATAATGTCAAAATGTAAATGATACAAGTTTATAAAACATCATTTGAAAGTTTAATTATTTAAATTTCATTTGCATTGCTTTTGTTTTGCAAATTTTTAAAAAATAAATTTTTAATTTTTTGTTCTGGTCAACATTTGCCATCTTCAATCAGAGGGAGCTCCACTTCCTAGACTGTTTTATTAAACGAAAGGTTTGGGGCAAAAGCAATCAAAGCAAAAATGTCCGGCATTGCAAATATATACTGCTAATTTCTATCCCGTGAGCCTGAGATCAGTTAATGGACTTCTCCTATCTGCTTTTGTTGAGGATTTAAGGGGCACCTGTGAGCACGAGAGGCAGGCACTCTCCACACACGTGGTTCTGTGAAAAGCCACTGGCCTAGGCCTACAGGCTTGTCAAGGTGAAAGGGTGAGATTACCCAGAGGAGAAACTCAAAACCAAGGACAACTCTACAAGTAATCAAAGCCCCACTACATATAAATGTATAAGTTAATTATGACCCTTTAAATATTGGCCTGATCTTTGATTCAACCTATGGGCAGGTCCAGTTACAGCCACACTGGAGTTAGCTTCTAATTAGTCTTAAAAGTTTAATCATTTAATGCCCATACCACTGGTGAACCTTCATTTCCCAAGGCCACTGTACACAAAAGGCTATTTCAATTTGTTTTAACCTTTGGTGACTCTTTGAGTAGCATTTGAGAAGTAGGACAAGAGAGAAAAGCAAAGTCTTCAAGAATGTTTCTTTATCATCTCCAAGATCAAGGCTAATACAAATTACTTTAACACGAGTTATATCTCTTTCAAAACTTAAATGGTCTCCTTTTAAAAGGGAAAATGCTACAATAAAGGCCCACTGAATGTTTTTATCTGGCCGGTGGTTTGCTGTTAAATATCTAACAACTAGCTCCCTGAAAAACTAAAAAATTAAAAGCCCTGATTTGTAGCATTTGCCTATTTTCATGGTGTAAATACTCTCTCCCTGGCCAAATTCAAACTCCCACCATGACATCGCTAAACATAGAGCTGGGAACACATGTGCAGTCCTGCACGATTATATATAGTATTTCCACCAGAGAGATACGCCACTTGTGAATTAACGTAAGGACATAGATAACAGTAACACGTAGTGAAATATTTTGAGATTGATTAAGTTTTGAGCATTTGTCACCTTTGTTTTTAATATAATTTGCTTAAATATAGTTTATAAAATTTAATTTTTAATAGTGGTTGTATTTAACAGTGGTTTTGCAAATTATTGGCTTTTACAAGTCAGTAGGAGCTGGCTGCAGCACGCCGCTAGCTCATGGCCTTGTGGACACTGGGACGCTAAGCACAGAAAAGTCAGGACCCTGCCCACAAAGGGAGTTACGAATCACTCAAAGCCAGGGAGCCCAGTGGAATTGCAGAGACGTGGCATGGGGGTGAGGTGAAAGTTGAGTCCAGCATGGGGAAGGCAGTCCTCTGAGCTCATGCTGTCTGTGTATTGCCTCCCGGTAGTTGCCCCTCCAGAGGACTTGCGAGTGGCTGGTATCAGCGACAGGTCCATTGAGCTGGAATGGGACGGGCCGATGGCAGTGACGGAATATGTGATCTCTTACCAGCCGATGGCCCTGGGGGGCCTCCAGCTCCAGCAGCGGGTGCCTGGAGGTTGGAGTGGTGTCACCATCACGGAGCTGGAGCCAGGTCTCACCTACAACATCAGCGTCTACGCTGTCATTAGCAACATCCTCAGCCTTCCCATCACTGCCAAGGTGGCCACCCGTACGTACCATTCCCCCATCCTGCTTCATTTTTCTTTTCTCCTCCATGAGATCATGGACATTCATGATGGTAGTGTCTTTTCTTAATTCTCCGGGGATGCCTGAAATAGTCATTGGTCTTGAGGGGAAGGGCTGCAGACATGACCCACTTAGAAAGGGCATAATATTAACAGGGCACTTCCGATTAAGGGTTTCCAAATTTAGGCACCTTTCACAAATTACAGAACCAAAAGGACAAAAAGCAATTTAATTATTGAGCACTGTCTTGTTACAAGCTAGACTATGGCTAGAAGTCAAGTAACATATAAAACTCATACAGACTTTGAATCTAGTTGGGGTTTTAAAACCAAGAGATACGAAATAGGATGTATAATGAGCAAGTGCTAAATGGCATGTTACAGATGGTGAGTGCGTAGCAGAGTGGGGAAAAAATCTTATTTAAGACCACAGCTGACAACATCCACTTCTCCTGATAGAGAGGTGGCATAATTTCTTCATGGTCTTTTGTTAGCAAAATATCTTGATAGTTCATTTTAGTTATAAAAGTTGAAGCTCTAGAACATAGTTTGGAAAGATTCAATGGGAGGAAAAAGAGAGACAGAGAACAAGCTTAGCTGCTCTCCATAAGAGATGGATAATTTTTCTTTTTTATTTACAACAGGGGAAACTTCTATAGGTGTTCTTCTATACTTTGTATATGTTTAAGCATAGAAAAATACAAAAGATCACATACCAATTGTTAATGCTGACTACATCAAAGAGTGGAATAAGAAGGAGATAGGAAAGCATTTTTTTCTTTATTCACCTCTAAATTCTTAAATTGTTACAATAAGCCTGTATTACTTTAGAATTTCAAAAGCCAAGCAGAGGGATTTAGGTGAGAGACATTTTCCTCACCCAAGTTTACTACAAAACCTGGATGCACACAAATGCCTGTGTGTCTCACGTGGAAAGTCTTTGGAGATAGCGAGAAAAAGGGGCTGTACTTGATTAAATTCTGGGAAAAGAGAAGAGAACATTCAAAGGAAGTGAGGTATGAGTCATACGTAGATTTTAGCCATAACAAGAAAGTGGACCAACAGTTGACCATAAGAACACCTGAGTGTTCTGAGTTTTTTAGGACTCAGAAAGCGCCGGGTCAGTAGATGGACCTTGTCGCCGGGTAAGGGGTAAGAGACTTGAGCCCATTTTATGTAGGTCTCAAATGGCACAGTGGTATTTGGTAACAAATCCCAAGAAAGTTCAGAAAAGGAAAAGGTCCGGGTAGGAAGAGTTGGCCTTGAAGGCTTCATGGAAGCTCCAGGACTGAGCGGAGCTTTGAAGGCTGCAAGGACAGAGACAGGCAGAGGGGAAAGGGTTTAAGAAGTCACCTTGTCCCCTTGCTTTTCAGTTAACAGAAATCCTGTCACACTATTGGGCTCCTCCTATGAATGTTGACTCTGTTAATATGCCTGTAATTATCTGTCTATATTGGAAAATTTTTAAAGCAAAATTCCTCTGGTGCCTGAGAACTGGCTTTAAATATCTACAATGATTGTGTAGAAAGGCGGGTCACCATCTGCTTTTCCCACCTTGCTCCGGGATGAGTCACCACCCAAGTGTCTGGCCCGACTCCCAAATGTCTCCTCTCTGATCCACACGCACGTGCAGGGATGAGGTTTCCATCTCCTACGGCGCTTATTCCTGCCCATTCGGGGCATCCCCTCAGGCAAGCTCCCAGGTGACAAGGACAAAATCATGTAACCACCTGACATGACATGATCGTGATACGGGTTCACAATCAGTCCTGCCTTCCAACCAGAGAGCATGAGAACACTTCCTCACAGGAGGGATGAAAATCTGTCAGTTTTCCAACGGGAATAGCCCATGAGAGACCAAGCTGGAATGGGAGCAGGCTCCCTGGGGAACTGAGAAAAGTCCTGCTGTCGTATTTTAGGGCTGGTAATTGGACCTCCACTGGGACAAGCACACTTCCACCTCACTACACCTGTGCGTGTGTATGTGTCTGTGTGGCTGGGGCGGGGGGAGGGTCGGGGAGAGGAAAAGAGGGAGATTAAGAGAGGAAAAGAAGAAATAAGATAAGTGAGGCAAAAATGAGTGAGGAATAGAAGAGAAAAATAATGAAGGAACTGGAGAAAAGAAGGAGAAAGTATAACAAGAGCAAAATCCCAGCATCTGCTATTGTCCTCAGTGTCTGCCTTTGTTTCACTTGTGCACATGAAATGACAAATTCAGACCACCCTAGACTTAGTGATTTGAGCTAAACAAAATACTCTGAATGCACAAGAGATGATCAAGAAAAGCATTCTAGTATTTATTCTGAAATTGGCTTGCTCTGCATCTTTAGCCAACTTTGTGCCTCCGTTTTCCTGTGTGAAAAATGAGAACAGTGATATTAGCCATGATATTGCCTCCCAGGAATCCTGTAAAGCTTCTAAAGATAGTGTTCAAGTTCTCTGAAAAAGGCATTATATTATATATTAAATGCCAAGATTTGCCCCATTAGTAAGGGAAGTGTGACTTTGGCATTTTAACGTTAACCTATTATGTAACAAAAAGTGTAAAAATAACTTATATAGAATGCAGATTGTGTTTTAAGTCTACTGGTGTATTCTGCCAACACTGAGCACCAGGACACAATGGAGTGGGCCACCGGCACCCGGGACTCACTGTGTCTGCAGTAAGACTGGGACTGTCCACCAGACACCACCACACCCCCGACGTGGAGGGAGTTTACCAGGACAAAGCACCAGGCAGTGCTCTCTCCCCATCCTGAGGGATAGCCGTGACTTTGTACCTACATTGCTGTGTTCCAGATCTCCCCACTCCTCAAGGGCTGCAATTCAAGACGATCACGGAGACCACCGTGGAGGTGCAGTGGGAGCCCTTCTCATTCCCCTTCGATGGGTGGGAGATCAGCTTCATCCCAAAGGTAACACTCACCTGTTAAATTGCTAAGCAGCCTCATTTGGAGTATTTGTTCCTTCAACTTGGAATCAGTGGCAGCAAGGAAGGCACCACCCAGTATCTCTGTCCATGTCATTAAAGGCACCAAAGAACATGTTGTGGATGGCTGGGACATAGAACATGTCTTTCACAAAGGTGTAGTAAGGACTGACTAACGAGAGTGACCCTGAGCGTGGCACCTTGGCCGTAGGTAACTGAAGGGTGCAGGAAGCAGCCACCAGCTCCAGCTCTCTGCTGAGATGGCTCCAGGGTTTGGTGAGCCGTGATTTCAGTGAGCACGAAAACCACACCCTCTCTTTAGGTTATAAGAAAAGCCAAACTGAGTCAGTCACATAGTCAACCCAAAGCTTCATTCTGTGCAAACAGATGCACCAAAAAACAAAACCAAGCCAGACTGCACAGCTTCAACCTCTAAAGGTTAGAGGCATGACGCAAAAACACCATGGCGTACCTGAATTATTCACGATGGATTTGTAACCTATTAATTAAGCAACATTTTCCTTAAACAAATTATATTATCAGTCTGTGAGTTTAAAAGTATCCTGAGATTCCATTCTACTCTTTAAAGCAGTATTTTATTTTACTAACCCTAAAACCTACTTTTCCAAATTTCCAGAGGTGCTTGACTGGCTCCAGTTTTCCAGAATTTGCTGACCCAACTGATGTCCTCCCTAACTATACCATTCATGGGGATATAAAGTTCAATCATACTCCTTTCCTCTGTCTTCATCCTTCAACATCAAAGAGCATTTTTTCAGTCATTCATCAGACTTAATGACCAATGACACGTTTTTGGCTAACAAGACTATAATTTCACCATTCTTTTACTTCAGAATTCTTAGAATCATGGGCGGCTGGAGTTGCAAAAGACCTTCAAGTTCACAGGGTGCAGACCTTCACTTTACATGTAGTTAAGTTTATAAAGACTAAGACTCAGAAAACTTAAAGAACATCATGCACCCGTTTGGTGACAGCCTTACAATGAGTACCTGGGTCTCCACCTCCTGATCCAGGGTTCTGTCCACCAAACCTGGATGTCCCCATTCTCTTATGTGGATATAGTCATGTCATATCATGGCAAGATAAATACATCTAAACAGACATTCTATACAAGTATTTTATTATATGTCTTATCTGAGCTAAAATGGCCAATAAAGTGTGGCAGGCAATTGGGTTTATAACAGGGAAGAGAGAATCATGTCGCGTTGCTGCTCAGGCAGAAAGAATTATGACAGGTTCTCCTGTTTTACATCCAATATGTAAAACTCTAAGAGGGGGCTAGCCAGGGCATGCCAAGGTCAAATGCATGCCCACGTGGTTTGATAACTATTGTGGTCTGTAGGTTGAGGCCACTGGGGGGGCATTTATCACACTGATTTATAAGAGTATGACTATCAATTACATATAGGCACTCTGGGTGACATAAATAGAGACCAAAGAGTAGGGGAGAAGGGCAGTGCCATAAAAAGGGCCCTCTTGTCTCCTCCATTTCCAGAGATGTGCATAGAAAATGTATGTTAGATAGATAGATAGATATAGACAGATAAAGATAAGATAGAAAGATAGATAATAAATATTGAATCCTGGATCCAACATCCAGTTTCCCTTTCTCATTTCCTCTTC